GCACTATGGTGTTCTTAGTGTCCTACATCTTTCTTATTCTTACAGAGCCAAGCCTCTTGCTCTGTATCTCTGTCAACAAATGGTTGTGATAATATAATCATTAGTATTACCTCTTCAATTGGCACAATTAGTACAACGGGTGCTGGAACTCCAGAAAATGTAATGTGGCTCGCTACTCCCTCCTCGAGTGTTGCTAGTCTCTGTTTCTGAAAACGGTACCATAAAGTCGATCAAATACTATGGAGCCTACTGCGGCTCAGACTCTACTTGCCCAGCTCTCCGGGTATGAGTTTTATCTCGATTGCATCCTCGTTCTAACATTTATAATATCGAGAGGAGAGCTTATGATCATAGAAAGTGAGATTGCAAACATATATACATATATATAACGTAACACAATACGTATTCATAACATACAGTATTCACGCAAATACTTTAAATCAACATAAAATAATTGTCATAATTTTTTTTTGAAATTTTAAGATATACGCACATATCGTCCTCACTCATTCTAGGAATTCCTAGTGGACTGTATACATGATCCCTAGGAAACTCTATCCTAACTCCACAATTTGACACGAGAATGATCCTAAGGATGCTGGAACTAGAGCTCTGATACCAACTGTGACGTCCCAGGATTCACACAAGGCTGCAGTCCCAGGTGAAACCCGGATTGTCAAACCTGCCAAGCACCAACCACCATGCTATGACAAGTTTTACCATCACAATCACTATCTCTCTAGTGGAAACAATAAATAGGTGAAGGTACAGATAGGTAAAAAAAAATAGAAATAGGACAACACTGGGTATACACAGAAGAAGCATAAGAAAAATCAATATTGAGCCCAACTGGAATAAAATAGACATATCTCTGAGTCTGAATTGAATCTCAAATACAATGAGTCACATAAACAAAGTCTCACAATAGCTCTCAACTCTATGAAACAAAATACCAATCTAGATTCTGAAAAAAAAATCAACTACATGTGGAGTTCTATAATAACTACAAAATATGATAAGTAACTAAATGGATAACTAAGAAGTCTCATCAACCTACGACTCTCCGTGCGCCAGACTCGCTGCCTGAAAGGGGGGAAAACAACGAGCGTTAAAGCGCTAGCGAGATCATCACTACCTCTCCCCAGGGAAGGGGTAGGAGTATATAAAGAAAATAGAGTCAGTACTTACATATATCAAATCATTCATATAACTCTCTATGAATGAATAACAAATAATCAATAATAAATACTCCAATCTCTAACATAAAGAATAATCACTCTAACTCGAACTACGTCCGAGTGACCTGCTCTATAATAAGAGGATATTAACAATTGCTAAAATAAATATATCTGCCGTTCATAACGGGTGCATCAAAATCTCAAAGGAAATACCCTATTCGCGGGCAATTTATCATAGAAGTAAAGCCTACAACTGATTAAATATTTATGTGTGCATCATCTTATACTATAGTGATACTTTTGTAATGCTCGTTACTCAATCGCTCTGCGGCAATAGGGTTTATTATTTTCCTATTTCGGATACATATAATAACAATACTGTTGTAATACTATTACTCAATCGTTCTGCGGTAATAAGTTTTATCTCCCTATCCCGGATACATGAAATAACGATACTTTTGTAATACTCTTACTCAATCGTTCTGCGGCAAATAGGTTTTATCTCTCTATTTTCGGATACATGAATTAACGATACTTTTGTAATACTCTTACTCAATCGTTCTGCGGCAAATAGGTTTTATCTCCCTATTTTCAGATACATGAATTAACTATACTCTTTCATATGTATTCATCCGCTCAACGTGCGACAAAAGTATGTTAACACAACATAATCTAAGTGTACGTGCACATATCTCAGTGTGCGTGTCCATATCTGATGTTCATCATCGTCCCAGATGTTAAACAACTCTTAAGCATTGTATATAATAGTACAAGATCAAGAAACTTTCTCAAAAATAACAAACAAGAGCGAAACTCAATAAACCTTTACGTAATATATCAGTTTATTTCAAATCAGCACATCTGCAGTTTTCTGCAGAATATATCATTAGTAAATTGAGCATATATTTCTCTGGAAAAACTCTTTTTAAGAATAGTTTTTCGTTTTGGAAACTAGACTCACATAGCTATCATTTGACACTGATTTGGCTCAGTTTGGAGTTCATATGATATTTCTAATTTCCAGTCAAACATTTTATATGTGCAGCAGATTTTCTGTAGAACATATCATCCGTAAATTGAGCATATCTTTCTCTAGGAAAACTATCTTTAGGTATGGTTTTCTGTTTTGAAAACGAGATTCACATATATTTCAATTGGCATTAGTTTGGTTCAATTTGGATTTCATTTGTTATTTCAAATTTCTAGTTCAATAGTATATATGTGCAGCAGATTTTCAGCAAAACATAACAAGCATGATTATTTGCACAAGAAATCATATGTAAACCTTCAATCATGCACAAAACTTTAAAACGAAGAATAAAACATCTAAATTCAGATAAACAATATTTTAAATTATTTTCAGATCTTAAAATACTTCTGTAAATTCATGCTTAATCTCTTTAACATGAAAAGACCTAGTCTTTATACATATATACAAAAGATCCAATTTTTATACACAAATTAATTGATTAGGCTCTATAAAACTCATTAAAAACTCTTCAAAAATATTTAAAAAAACTGGGAGGGGGATTAGTGGAGATGATACTCGTCTGGGGTTGTAGGAAAACTTGTTAGAAGCAACGTCGAAGGAGATCTCCACTCCAAAGCCAAAAAATCAACAAAAACCCAACTTGAAAGCCTCCAATCTTCTCCAAGAATTCAAAATAGGGTTTATGGGGGTTTGGTGACTGTTAGGGTTCTTAGATATGATAAAAATATGATAAAATAAAGGAATTTTCATGAAAAATACAGGTATTTATAGAGGCAAACCCGAAACAAACCTGTTAGACCCGAACCAGGAAACCTAGTCTGACTAGGAAAATACCCCTTCGGTATTTTGACTGTAACTTTCTCATCCGACCTCAGAATGGGGTGATCTAAGACTTGTTGGAAATCTGTTGAAGAGAATTACAACTTTGGTCGTTTACACTTTTCCAAATTCTAATTGCATCAGTGTGCAAAATATAAAAACTCATAACTGGTCATTATTCCCAGTTTTTCACTCTTTTGGCCTTTGTACATATTTTGTGCATTTGCACTCATATTTTCACAAATATACATTGAATTGATCTCAAATCAATTCTTATCATATCCAAATATCAAAATATATTATTTTTTACCATATAACATATTTATCATTATTTATCATAAAATATTCAAATTTATTTTTTACCATATAACATATTTATCATTATTTATTATAAAATATTCAAATTTACGGGGTTTTACATCATGACTCATCCCATGACTCATTAATCAAGGTATAATAAAGTGTGTATTTTATAAGTAAAAATACCACATCAATATGGTGTTTCATAAATACGATATTGCATAATTTTTCCAATCATTAACTAATAAGTCATCATATGACAAAAAAAATCAATGAGTTGACAAAAAGTCAACTGTTGACCAAAAAATCAACCAGTTGACTAAAAGTTAACTTTATGGAAAAATACTGGAATCCATTTATTAAGCACATAACATTCTGATTTTACCGATACATATAACCGTTTATATGTATCCGGTAAAAATCATATATGCGTATCAATCATACGCATTAACTCTATAAATTGTATTTCATAGGATTCAAGTACGCGCTTGGTGTGACTCTAGGGCCCAACTTAAGACTCGACAGTGGATCATATCTACAAGTACAACAGAGGTGCTAGCTACACATGAAGACTACCCAGGTATAAGTTGTGATAAATATCTGCAAGATGCTTACATAATTTTATCAGGACCACTCAGTGATAATACCGTACAGTCGGGTCTCTTCGTCAAACCATGTTAAACTATAGAGCCTAGGGTATGAAAATTTTTCAAACCCTAATAGCTCGATTAGTGTTTGTTGATATTAAACTCATAACATTTAAGATCAAACTGACACTCAGTTTATCTTATTTACCTTGGCCAAGGATTTTCACGCTATAGTTATATCAAATAATCTTATGACATCAACCCCCTATACTGGGAGAGACGAATCTCATCTTGGCATCTTAATATCTACTTATGTCTTGGGATGCACCCAACAAGAAATATTATGCATAACTCAATGAGAACTGTGGTTAGGTAAAAGTCTAAGTACACCTATACTGACATATAAGATATTACACTCATGCTTCAGGTCAAAAGACTATTTTTGTACTATATCACTTTAGAACTTCTATTTGACAGTTAAGTATAATTACCAACTAGACGTTCTCAGTGAGTTGTTCAGTCAACTCATTCACTAATGAGTCACCTGTATACTATATCTTGATGCCTCACATCAATGATCCAAGAGATGGATCATCATCCTACCAAAGGAGAAATAGAGTATACACTAGTCTTCCCAAAGTGATAATGTCTCATTTCTACACTTCATCAACTAGGAATATTTTAGAATATACATTAGCGACAAATCAGATCTCTTCATTACGAACATATCCGGAATGTTTGATAGTCTAGTATCATTCTAAGGACTTTATCTGTATTAAAATACCAGATAAAACTGACCAAAATAGCATACTATATCATTTTGAACAAGGATGTTATATTCATATAGGTCCTGTTATAATATACAATTATTACATGTAGGGCATCTATATCTAACACTTACATCTTACCTATCTCCTAAAACATTTAAATTGTGAAAAGAAAAGGGGGAAAAAGGACCCATATCCATTATAGGACTGCAAGTAGCAGCATGGAAATAGTTATGATCCCTGCCCCTCTCCAATATTGCAAGTAGCTAGCACGCCCCTTATTTATGACTGCTGCATAATGTCGACACATAAACAAACAACTAACCAGCGAGTAATTATAATCCCCTCAACAACCCCGTAAATAAATCAACACGCATTCCATATTTTCATTTTATCAAACAACCCCAACCTTAAATATTTTTAGACAAACGTACAATAATGACAAACAAGACCTTAACATACACATTTCGAATTTGATGATATAATATGACACTAATAATGGTATAATAGGATTCTAATTGAGCTTCTTCTTGTATGGTCAGAACATCCCGTTCGTTGGCACTTATGCATGCAGGTTGTTCTGAAAAGAGCTGTAATATATAGTCTTTTTTAATTATTGAGCAGCTCGTGGATGTTTGCGGTTTTGCCATCATCAAAGATCCACCCAAACTTCTCCATGAAAGGGTTAACCAAACTCTTCGGAGGATACTCATCGATGCAATCCTTCCAAGCTCCGCATCCACCATCCCCGCAATCCAAATCCCTCATCACGGTCCAGAGGCAACTATTGCACTTAAACCCTCCCCCAACACTTATCATCATCACTCTCTCCCCCTTCTTCAACCTCCTCTTTGCCTCCATATACCCCAGCACGTACCACACACTGCTCCCCGACGTATTCCCGAACCGATGAAGCGCCATCCTGCGACGGCTCCAGGTCCGCGTCGCTCAGCCGTAAGCCTGACCGACTCCATCGCATGACCACCGTTCCCCCGGTGTGGACGCAGAAGTGGTCGACGCCGGACTTGAGGTCGGCACGACGAACCTCGGCTTGTTGAGTTTCGACGGGGCCGAGCCTGTCTTGACGAGTTGGCCGCGTTGCGGCGGACGTAAGGACGATTTCCTTGACCGGCAGACCTTGGGGGCGAAAACCCGGATGTTTTCGAACAGGCGGCTGCGCCGCCTTTCGGGATGTCCTTGCTGAGCTGCCATGCCTGTCAGCGTCCCTCGCTCGTCTCTGGTAGTGTGAAGGCGGCGTGTGGGGCCTCTGCTCTTCCCGGAGGTGGTCCAGGACCAGCTGTTCAGCTGGAGCTGGCCTGTAGCTTTGAGCCGCTGGGCTGTGAAAGTCAATACCGAGCACCCCCGGAGGCGAACAGGCAGTTCCCGAGCTCATCAGAAGCCGGCTTCTTCACCTGAATACAGTTCGGCGCTGATCGACTTCGCGACGTGACGAGCGCTGCCAGGCAATCCCTGCGGCACTTCATCAGGTTCTGCACGAGGTCGAGCGAGATCAGGCTGGCGCTGCATCCCATGCCGGAGAGATTGAACACCTTGACGTCCTCCCTCATCCGGTACCTGTTCACGATCCTCGCCGACAGCGAGGGCGCGGGGCAGAACATGGACACGTTGAGGACCAGGGCGTCTACGTCCGCGGGCGCGAAGCCCGTCCTGGCGAAGAGAGCGTCGAGGGTCCCGAAGAAGCACTCGTCCATCTCCAGCAGGGAGTCGCCGTGGGTCGGGCTATCCTCCCTCCCCTCGACGATGTTGCGGGGGCCGTAGGTGTGCTCTCCGATGCCGGAGCTGACGATGATTCTCAGGAGGAAGCGGTACTCTTCGAGGCCGAGGCGCTTGTTGCGGCGGACGATGGACTCGCAGAACTCCGTGGGGATTTCGCGGTCGTCGGTGGGCCTGAAGTTGACGTAGTCGATGAGGTAGCACCCCCGGTTTCGCCATTGATCGAAGAGCTTGTATAGGGGGTAGAGAGAGAATGAGAGGAGCACTGCGGTTAGTATGACCAATATCTCCATCGTGTTTACTTATTTCTTAGGTTCTGGCTAGCTAGAGAGAGAGAGAGAGAGAGAGAGAGAGAGAGTTGCATGGAGTGAGTGAGTGAGGGAGGTTGGTAGATATAGTTCTGAGGGGAGAAGAAGGAGATCGAGGACAAAGCTAAGCTATGAATGCATGCCTCGTGAAATTAAGCCTGGCTGCCTGCCAACAACTTTTCGGATACCTGCACTGAGGGGACTTAAATTAATTTGATGTACAACTGCTCTTACCAATAGGACTTCAAAAATAAAAAAAAATAAAAGTCAAGCGATTACGCTGCTACGGAGACCTAAAATATGAGACCAAGAGTGGGACTAGTGATGTGTCCCTCCCCTATTGGATAATGAGTTGGCAATGAATTGACATGGTCAACTCATTATCTAATAGGAGAGGGACACATCACCCGTCCCACCCCATTGGTCCCATATTTTGGGTCATTGGAGCATTAATCCTGGATTAATATGTACTAGAAAGTAAAGTCAAGATTTTTTGCTAATTAAGTACGTTTCTTAATTTGCTAGGTGTTCGCTTCAGCACTAGATCAAAATTTTGAAGTTGATGTTCAGGTGAAATCAGTAATTAACTCAAGAGATTGATTACCTTTTTTTTAATGAAACCCACTGTATATCAAGTTCTTGGCTGACGAGATTTTATAACTGGCATCTCCCGCGCGCGCTGTACAAACGCTATAATTTTACAATTTAACGATATCTAGCAAAGCTTTGCTTGCCTATATCGATCATCTACCGCCAGCCGTATAGGAATGGAAAAACTATCCTAAAGAAAATTTAAGTTTGTTATTGTCTCTTCATCCGCACGAATGTAATTATATATTTTTATGTGTTACTATTTTCCCCTTAAAATTAGATAACATATCGTTTACATTTTTCTGCTGCTACGTACTAATGTTACGTACCCTCAATAAAATAACCCTTCACATGGTTATTTAGTACTCCGTAGAGTTTAAAGGCGGGCCTGCAAGATAGGTGACAAACCATGGGAACTACCCTCAACTATAGTCCACCACATACATTTGATGGAACAACAATGCCTCAGGGACCCCAAATAAGAGTTTTAATATGGGGACAAGTGAGGTGTCCCCTCTTAAATGCATGGTAAAAAAGTGCATCATGCATTTAGGGGGGACATCTCTGAAATAAAAGATGCATTTCGAGATCTATGGCTTTTCAGGAGAGAGAAAGAAGCTGTTCGCGCTATCCCTCGTGACGAGTGAGGAAGAAAGCATCTGTGACAGTAGAAGAAAGCTATACATTGTTCTATCCCTCTGGAGAGTGAAGAAAAATTTCCTTAAGAACCAACCATGACATTGGACGAGAGAATCTCAAGAGGCCCTTGAGGACTTAAAGGGATCCATCATGGCTGATCCGGCGCTAGCCTTGTCGGATCACACTAAGCCCTTCGAGGTACATACCGATGCTTCGGACTATGCCATCGGTGGAGTTCTTATGCAAGAGGGGCACCCAATCGCCTATGAGAGCCGTAAGCTCCTCTGTCTCACTCAAGTGAATTGGTTTTGAACGAGCCTCATCTTTTCTTCACTTTTACTGAATTTGTTCACTTGACGAACTGCAACTACGCTTACTGAATTGATGAACTTGACTGCTTTACTCGTCATCGAGACTATCGCTCGAGTGCGGGTTTTTCAGCCTTGATTCCCGGTGAAAGCTGTCTGATATAGGTGGGCCATGCCTAGCCTATAAAAAAAAAAGTTTGGAAAAAGGCTTGATTTTAGGCGCTTCCTATAGTTAAAAAATCCTCCCATTGGGTCCCCTATCTTGGGGTCCCTGTGGCTATTTGAGTTTGGAGATCCACCTCATCTGACCCTTGATGGAATTGGACTTTGGAGATCTAGCTAGCTAGCTATTTGTGTTTCTCTCTCGTTCGCTCCTCTCATTTGTACGTGGCCAACTTATTAATGATGAATAGAAAAGCCGTTCAATGAGACCAGATGCGTGCTGGAGAAATAGGGGCACCGCCAATCAATTAGCTAGGAAAGGACTAAAGGTTGAAGTGGATAACTAATTTTAAGATAAGACTTGGGGCAAAACAAGTCGGTCATCATCCTTTAATGCTCGTCTCTAGGCTAAATGATCCCCATCACATTCAAGCATATATAGCCCCACATAGATACAGAATAAAATTATACCTCTCAATTCTTACAGTACGTATATAATTACAAAACTCTGGTATAATGTAAGGAATCTTTAACATAATAAACAGCAAATTTAAGCCCTACGTACGTATCTTAATGGGAGTTGAGGGGGGGGGGGGGGGGGGGGGGGGGGGGGGGACTCGTGCATTAAGTCTATAGTTTCAGTCTGGTAAAAAGGGCTACCGGCGCAACTGCAAAAACACGTTGGTCTATAATCATCAAGGCCAAGGACACAGTTATTCTCAAAATTCAACCTTTTGAAGGTATAATCATATGGATCATCGAAAAGTTAAAGATAGTAAAATTTAAGGGGGAAAAAAAACAAAAACAAAGATAAGCCTATCGTTGGAAAAAATACGGAATTAATGAACCGGCCAGCAAGAAAACGTGGGTGGAATGTAACGTGCATGCATGCATATATAAAAGTCTAAGAGTGACATACGATACACATACTCTACTATATATGGAAGGCGATAATAATCAACCATTTCTTTCGCGTCCAAACAAAATGTCCTACCATTTGGTCAATGTGTTCGTCTTGACTTTTTCTTTGAAATAAAAAGAAGGAAAGCTTATAATGCACTACTTGTTTCGTTTAAAGATTGGTGGCACAAAATAATGAAGATCAATGACAGTAGAAAACGGCGTCCAATTGTTAAAAGTATTGAAAAACGTGAAAATTCAACAGTCTAAGTGTGGTGCGTGCTACACCCAGGTATGGCAGAATCTGCCATGTTATCAGGGGTGTGGTGCGTGCGACACCCAGGTGTGGCAGAATCTGTCCTGTTATCAGGGGTATGGTGCGTGCCACACCCGGGTATGACTAGACTCGTTTTCAGATACTCATATTATTTTGGATTGAGTTTATTATAAATAGAAACATACGTTTCTAGGGTTGAGAGAGAGAGAGAGAGAGAGAGAGAGAGAGAGAGAGAGAACAGAGATTTTGGATTCTTTTGAGCACTTTGAGAGGGAGATTATTGTGAGGGAGTGAGAGATCATTGATTGAGTTATTTTGAGAGTTGTTTGAGAGATTGTAACCCGTTGTTTCTCCTTCATATAGTGAAATCTCTCCATCATCTCCTCGTGGACGTAGGCAATTGCCGAACCACATATATCTCTGTGTTTGTGTGATTTTGGCCGTTAATTTGGTGGATTGCACTCATATTTGTTTTGGTTCTCTTCTCTCATCGCTTACCGACTCGTTTGGTTATCGAGCACGCTTTCGCACAACGCGCAACAATTGGTACCAAAGCTCTAGGGTTTCAGATCTAGGGTTTTGCATTGGATGGAGGAAGATTCGTTGTTTGAAGCTTGGTTCTTGGAGTTCTAGGCTTCGATGGAGATAACGTTGCGGAATTGCTGTTGGGATCTCGATTTCCTTGTGTGGTTAGGAGATTGTGTTGGAATCCTATCTAGGGTTCAGTTGGGTAATTTCTCAATTCTATCAAAGTTTGAACCTTTCTTTACAATTTGGAGTTTGTAAGCATGGGAGAAGAAGTTGGTGAAAGCAACAAGACAATGATGAGTACTGTAGGCTATCTAAAATTACTAAAGATAGTTGATCCCCATCAAACACTGATGATGAAAGTTACTATTTAACGGCTTTCATATTTTCAAGGAGTCAAGACGAAGATTACAAGATGACGATTTTTACAACGTTTTAGCAAAAGAGACTACAAATCAATGATTTTTTAAAATCAAGAGGCAGAGCCCACCTCTGCGTCCCAAATTCAAAACGCAGAGGTCCTCCCTACGTTACAACATCAAAACAAAGAGGTCCTCCCTACGTTACAACATCAAAACGCATGGGTCAGACCCGTGTTTCTATGTTTGACTAGTTCAAATAGAACCTGAACGGTTTTAAAACTGTATCTCCACTTAATGGGGTCAGTTATACCCCATTATGGAGAGATTTTAGGGGGCGATTACACCCCTTAAACCCTTGAACGGTTTCAAAATCGTTTTTCACGAAATGTGGTCAGTTACACCCTATTAAGGAGAGATTTTTAGGGGCGGTTACACCCCTAAAAACCCCTATAAATGGCGAAAAACTCAACTGAGTTCGGGATCTCTAATTCATCCTCTTCTCAATAGCAAAAAAGAGATCTTTTGGCAGATCATCTTTAAGGGAGATCAACATTTATCTTTGGAGAGCTCAGAGCATTCTTCGGCAAAGGAGCTTTCTTCATCCTTGGATTACAAACCGATTTCGGTTAAATTAACTCTTGAGTTCGGGATCTTGAATTAATCTAAAAATTGATCGGCTTTTTTGCATTATAGATCACTAAAAAGAGAGATCGACATTTGTGTTCTAGGAGGTCTGGGAGCGTCCTTCAGCAACAAAAGGCTTGGAAATTAGACCTTGGATATAAACCGATTTTCGATTCAAATTAACTCTTTTTTACAGAGTTTAAACTCGCATTGAGTTCCTAAACTCGTTAAGAGTTCTGTTCAAACTTGTCACGCAAGTCCTCAACATCAATCAAGAGGAAAAAACCGTGTCTAGTGAAGTGAAATGTTCAAATCGTTAATGAGATACAAGATCGAAAGCTCATCGACACCAAGAAGAACCCATGTTAAACAAAGGGATGGATATCTGTCGATCTATCTCTCTTTTATAAATTGGAAAACCGACCGAGAAGATTATAATTTCTTTTTCTAAGTTTGTTAGAGAGAAATTATATTTAGAGAATTGTAACTCATTCTTTTTCTAAGTCTGTTAGAGAGAATAAATATTAATTCAATTCTCAAATTTTCTTCTTTCAATTTTCCTAACAAACAATAGGGGATTAAGGGGTGTAACTAACCCCTAAAATCACTCATAAGTAGGGTGTGATTTTTCCTAAATCATGGGAAATGGTTTCTGGAACTGTTCAACTCGTGTTTAAACGAGTCAAACATAAAACTTGTGTTCTGGGTACGAACTCTGTATTTTGAGTCTAGAACGCAAAGATGAGTTCTGTATTTTGAGTCTGGAATGTAGAGATGAGCTT